CGAATCATTTCATCTTCCTTTATATATATTTCCCTCCAATTCCCGATTTCAAATTCACATGCATCCAATTATATAACACTTTCTAACCGCTACACACGTGTAACGCAGGAAAGAATTGTCTTTACAATTACGGGATATATTATATAACACTTTCAACATTTTGTACTTTTTCGATAGCTTCTCTTGTTCACTCAAGTTTTTGGTGTAATATCTTGTAAGCCCTTTTGAAAGAAAAGCATAAAAAAGGCACAGTGAGAAAGATAGTTTTGGAAAAGAGAAACGACATGATAAAGTTGTGATGAAGTTGTTGTCGTGGAATCAAGAAAACGAATAGGGTAGACAAAAACCCTTGCCCACGCTTGAAGCATGGAAAGAAAAGAGAGGTCCTCACTTCAAGTCATACGTCTTTTGTTCAACTTATTTCCAAACCAAAACTACTTGTTTATAAGAGAAGAGCAAGGTGGCGTAGCTTACTTTACCTATAGTTGCGGGATATACTATTACCGCTAGTAATTAAGCCTTTTTTCGTATGCTAAGCTTCATTTTCGTGTATGAAAAAACAAACATATCCAACTCTTGGTTTATAAAGGATGTTTGGTTTTATCGATGCAACTTTTTTTCAATATGTTCAATAAAATTCATTTTCACGAAACACATTACATGATAGCATAATTCTTCTTACGACACCCATAATAATAATAATAATATGTTATTGTCAACTTTGACCATAACCACAGACCATAGAAATGAATGTAAAGAGACGCTAGATGAGATGGGCTTGAAGAATACGTACTGGGCCTACACGAATGATTCCCCAACCAAGCCCATTTGATGAAACACATGGGCTGAAAAGTGTACACAAAGTGGGCCGATAAGACGTCGTACGGACAAATGTTTGAAAGATATGTTTGGTGATTTATCGTCAGACATTTGACTGACAAATGTTTGTGTATGATACCAAACGCATATAAATATGTATGTATTGAAGAAAGAAAAAGGGAAGAGGCTTAAAGAAACACAGTATTGAGGAAAGAGTGGGG